CCCGCCCCGCGCCGGCCTCCGCGAGCCGGGCCCCGTCCGATGCCCCGCAGCGCGGTGGCACTGCAGAGGGTTGGCCCCGCGTCGGGTCTCAGCCTGTCCCCCGAGGTGGGGCTGCCCGGTCCCCACCGTGTGCTGCAGGGGCGCCCGGAGGAGGGCAGGGGTCTGCAGGAGGCAGGCTGAGTCGGTCCTGTCTTTATCCGAAATGCTGGCTTTTATGGAAGTTTTGTGCGTGGAAGCTCTGGAGAAGTGAAATCTTGTTTCTTTTTGTTCGGTAAAGCGTTGTGTGAAAATGTTGTTTCTCTCCATCGGTTGTGTTTTGGCGCTGTCTGCCCCTTCAATCTTGTTCCCAAAGTGCCTCTCTCGGCAGCCCCTAGTGTCAGGCCTGCTTGGAAGGAAGGGACACAGAGTGCTTAGTCGGAAGCCTTGCTGATAGACATCGCTATCGTTCGTGGGTTGTTTTTCAGGCACAGAATCGGGAGGACTGGAGGAGGGGTGCCCTGGGGTGGGCCTTTTTTTCTTACGGGGCCCTCCCTGGGCCTTGCAGTGGGTAAGGGACCCACCTTCATGGCAGCGGTGAGGTTAGAGCTCAGGCCCTCGGGCTCCGAGGTTCTTGCCGGTCCTTCGCCTCCTTTCGGATGGCCTGTGGTCCCTGCGCTTGTGTGCAGTTCCTCAGCTCAGGACCTGCAGCAGTTGTCAGCAGTCTCAAGTCGGGGCAAAACTTGTCCCCCTGTGTGGACGACTCCTGTCTCCTGCGGCTCTAGGAGTCTTGAGATTTTCCAAACCCAGTGTCGTGGTGAGAGCGTTTGGGCGAGCTGGGCCGTGTGAATGTCGTTCTCTCCAAGAGGGCCTGGGCCCCGGCCTGACAGCGGGACATGGGTGGACGGTGCCACCCTGCTCCCGTGTGAGCAGCTTGCGGTTGGCAGTGTCAAGGCGCCCAGGGCGGGGTTGGCTGTGACCCAGCTCCCCGACCCTCCTGCCCACTCGAGGTCTCCCTTTCAGCATCGACACTCCTGGAGTCATCAGACGCGTGTCCCAGCTCTTCCACGAGCACCCCGACCTCATCGTGGGATTCAACGCCTTCCTGCCCCTCGGATACAGAATAGACATTCCCAAGAACGGCAAGATAAACATACAGTCGCCTCTGACAAGCCAGGTACGGTGGCTCCGGTCCTCGGGCCTTCTGCGTCCCTTCACGTCACTGTGGGGAACCGGCGTGCGACCTGCTCATCTTCTGGACCGGCACAGATCAGAGCAGGTGAAAGCTCGTGGGCAGCCTCCGCGTCCCCAGTGGCTGCGTGTGACACCCAGGGCAGGAGCAGGCTGGGTGCGGGTGGTGGAGCGTGCGCTTGGCCTCCCGGCCGCGTCTGTTAGTGAAGACGCAGCAAAGGTGTTGCCGCAGTCTGGGCCCAAGGTGAGCCAGGGGCCTGCCCGTCACCCTCGGTGCCACCTGCAGAAGACGGTGGAGCTCTGTGTGCTGTGAATAGCCGTCTTCATGGTTGGCGCTGTCAAGGTCATGGGCTCAGATCAGGCTTGGACCTTTGACACCTCTTTTTGGGGTGACAGCTTGCGGCCCTGCCTCTGTACCCCCTACCGCTGAAGCTCCCCGACCTTCTGAGAATAGGAAAGCCCATTTGTGTTGAACTTGGAGAAGTGCTGCTGCCTTTTTTTCTGTCTCAGCACGGTTGTCTCTTAGCCCCAGGTCTTTCCTGCCGGGTGTGTGTGTGTGTGTGTGTGTGTCTCCTGCCGGGTGTGTGTGTGTGTGTGTGTGTGTCTGGTGCGTTCTGGGACCTTCTGCAGCACCCGGGGCTTCCAGTGGCCAGATTGTCCCCTTGTCGTTGGCAGCCTTGCCATGGGGCTGGCGGCCAGAGCTGCCCCTGTGGCAAACCTGTGGTCTAAGCGACCCGCAAGTGCAGGAGGGCACGACTGAGCGGTCCAGTCGGTTGGCAGCTGGGTGTGTGGAGGAAAGCAGGAAGGCGATGGGAGGAGACCTCACCTCCCGGAGGAGGCTGCCACACAGCCCTCCTGTGCTCGGGCAAGGCAGCCCCGCTGCGTGGGCGCAGCTCCTGGGAGGCCCGCAGGTCCAGAGGGCACCCGGAAGCTCCTGGGCCCAGGGGCAAAGCGCGTCCTTCCTCGGAGGGAACAAGCAGTGCTCTCGCTGGGCTGCTGGGGAAGGTGGGCCTGGGAGGGAGAGCCAGCCTCCTCCGTGGGCAGATGTGGCTTTGTGGCTGTCTCCAGGCGGGCTGCGGGTCTCGGCGAGCTGGTGGTTGGATTCACGGTCTGTGGATAGCAGGGTCTCTGCCACTCCCACCTCTGGGCCACCCCGCAGGCTGGTGGCAGAGGGAGGGCTGACCAGGACTTCCTGCAGCGCCATGTGCCCCTGGTTCCCTCTGGGTGGCGCGGGCTGGCGGGGACTGGGACGACCCAGTGGCCACCGTGCCCCTGGCAGCAGACGCCCACTCGCCCACACGTGAGGCCCTGGGGACTCCGGAGACTGGATGTTCTCACTTTTAAACTGCAGCTCATTTGTTCTTTGCTCGTCTTGTGTGGTGGGAGGAGGTGGCCCTGGGCGTGGGGGGAAAGCGGGGGAGGCCGGGGCTGCGCCTCACAGCGTCGGCAAGTGCCCCTAGGACAGAGCACTCTGAGTGCCCAGGCCTGACGGCAGACGCAGCGCAAACCCGCGAGGATCAGGGCTCGGGGAAAGGGCGCCCCCTGCTGGCCTCTGAGTTGGTGCCCCAGGGGACCCAGTGACCAGCCTGTTGTGACCGTGCCTCCTGAGATGTGCCACCCTCCTCCGGTCGCACTCACACCACCCTGGGGGCCGTCGCATGCCTGTGATCCCAGCCCTCGGGGAGGCTGAGGCAGGAGGGTCGAGGATTTTACAATTTAGTGAGCTCCCGCCTCAAAACACAAAGTAGAAAGTGCTAGGTAGGGAGCTCAGTGTGAAGACCCTGGGTTCCGTCTCCAGCCCTGCGCGCGCACATGCAAAAGAAAAGGACAGCAAAGCTGGAGGAGCCCGTTTACACCCCGCCCCGCCTGCAGTCCTGGGAGGAGGGGCCGGGGAGAGGCAGGCGGGCAGTGGGCAGTGCACGCCACCCTGGGCTGAGGCAGGAGGGCCGCACAGAGAAAGGCCCGAGTGTCGTTCACTGTAGAGGCCCTGGTCCAGCCCCAGTCCTGCAAAAAGAAAGAAGGACGGTGGCCGGGCAGGACCGTGAGGGGCCCGTGTGCCGTCACCAAGACTTGGCAGGTGGGGAGTGGGCAGATGCCTTGGTGACGGTGCCGGGCCCGGGGACAGTGGCTGGGGAGCCAGGGGTGGGGCACAGAGCCGCTGTACCCCAGGGGGCCCTGAGGGTTGGGACAGTGGACGTGGCCGGGGCGGGGCCTGTGAGGACAGTGCAGATGGGGCCCGGGGCCGCCCTCTGGTGAGGGAGGCGGCATGTGCCGAGGGGGCTGGTGGCTCCGGAGGCGTCCCTCCCCCGTGGGCTGTGTGACATCGTGAGCAGGGGACAGGGACGCAGGCAGGGCTGTCCCAGAAGACCCCTCCCTGCGCACCTGCCTGGCCGCGTGCCGGCGCCACCGTCATCGACTCCAGCGCGGCCTCAGGTCTGGGGTCACCGTGGCACGGGCGTGGGAACGCGCCCTCCGGTGTCCAGGGTCCTCCCAGTGCGGCGTGGCCATCGCCACTAATTCCAGGCTTCCCGCCACCTCCAAACCAAGCCTGTCCGGCCTGCTCTGCTGTGTGTGTGTGTCCCCACCCCGCATCCGTGGGAGCGCAGCCACACGTCGCGTGGCCCACGTGGTCGAGGCGGTCTCGGCTACGTTGCACTCCGGCCCTGTGCCGGGCCCTGGCGGGCGTGTGCGTGGAGCGACACTCACAGACAGCCACAGGCTTCTGGAGTCCTCGGGCCCCGGGGCCACGGTGTCCCTGCACTGGGTGTGCGCTGCCCCCCTGCGCCCTGCCTGCCCCGGGCGGGCGCCGTCCCTGATGCTGGCTCAGCGAGGACTGCACAGCTGCCCAGCCCACAGGCTCCGTCCCCGCCGCAGACGGAGACCAGGGAGGGTAGCTCAGCGGAAGCTCAGAGCCTCAGTGTCTGGTCCTTTGTTTTGTTTTTTGTTTTGCGGTGCTGGGCCGCGGCCGGGGCCTCTTGCGCTCGAGGCCACGTTCTCCCGAGCTGCAGCCTGGCTCTGGTTTCCAGCTGCCGGCCCCTCAGCGACACAGGCAGCTGTGGGTGGGTGCCCACACGGGACAGGCGCTGAGTCGCCCGGATGGAGTGGATCTCCGGAGGGTGGCCCGGGCCCAGGTGAGGCAGCGCCTGGTCTCGGACCCCAGCACCCTGGCTATGGCGTGTGGGAGGCCTGGGTCCAGTCCCCGTGGGTGTCAGCTGCTCTGTCCACAGCGGGCCTTGGTGGCCATTGAGGACAGCACGGCCACAAGGAGGGCCGGGTGACATGTGCGGCGTCCTGGTCAGCAGCGGCCAGGCCGGGGTGTCGCTGTGTGAAGGGCTGACTGCACCCTAGGAGATTCGGGATGGAGGGCATGGGGTGAGACTTAGTGGACACTCGGGGTGGACTGGGCAGCTCACCCCTGCCCTCCAGGTCCCAGAGCCAGCCTGTGCCACATCTAATTTGAGAAACCAAACTTGGACGTGAGCGTGGTGGTGCAGGCCTATTGGCCCAGCTGTTCAGGAGGCTGAGGCAGGAGGATTGCAAGTTCAAGCTTAGCCTGGACAACTTACTAAGACGGTGTTTGGCAATAACAAACGATAAATAAACAGGGCCTTGCATGTGGCTCAGAGTGCTTGCCTGCAGTGTGGGAGCTGGGCTGGCCACCAGGGGAGAGCAGCCCTGGCTGCGCACACGCCCCAGCTGCTTTCCTAGACACTCAGTAACACTGTCCCTGCCCGTTGTCAGGAGAACTCGCACGGCCATGCCGACGGCGCGGAGGACTTCAGGCAGCAGCCGTCGTACAAGGAGGACAAGCCGCAGGTGCCTCTGGAGTCGGACTCCGTGGAGTTCAATAATGCCATCAGCTACGTGAACAAGATCAAGACCCGCTTCCTGGACCACCCCGAGATCTACAGGTCCTTCCTGGAGATCCTGCACACGTACCAGGTGGGCACTGTTTCTGCTTCCTGTCTGAGCCCACACGGGGCTGGGGTGACCCTGCTGCAGGCTGCCGTGCACTGTAGGCCAGCACTCCCACAGAGCTGCACCCCAGGCCTCTTTTTTTTGCATTGGTTTTGTTTGGGTTTTGAGACAGAGTCTTGCGCTGTATCCTAGACTGGGCTGGGACTTGTGATCCTCCTGCCTCGGCCTCCCCGAGTGCTGGGATCACAGCTGTGTGCCTATGTGCCCAGCTCTTTCAGTTTTTATTTTGAAACGGTGGCTTGTTAAGTTGCCCGGGCCAGCCTTGAGCTTTTGATCCTCTTGCCTCAGCTACCTGACTAGCAGGGATGATGGGTATGCACCACCACGCCTGGCTAGGGCTCACTTTTAAAGATGAAATCTAGCCCGGCCTGGTGGTGCACACCTGTCCTCCCAGCGCTCTGGGAGCCTGAGGCAGGAAGATCACAAGTTCGAGCCCATCCTAGACAGTTAGCGAGGCCCATTCGTGAGCTGCCGTCTGCCGGGCAGGGCAGCTCAGTGTGAAGGCCTTAGGCCCGGGCCACGCGGGTGAAACCGTGCGGGCTTGGTGCATCCAGCGCGGGCGGGCGGCTCCCAGCGCGTGCGCATTGGTGCTCGCTGGTGCGGCTCTGCTTGCAGCGCAGCCTTGCGGCAGCGGGAGAACAACACCAGCACCTCAGACTGGGGCGCGGCTGGCCGCAGGGCCGCTCTGCTCACTGTGCGAGGCCCCACGTCCCGCAGGGACCCAGGCTCCACGCCAGGCCGGCAAGGAGCACGGGACGCACGCCGCCTCCGCTGTCCCCGTGCCGGGTCCGCCCGGCAGACTGCCGTGGGCTGTGTGCGGCGCCCTGCGTGGGGCCGGGACGCATAGCCACTTAGCAGACAGCCTGGACTGCTTCTGAGGGTCTCCGGGCGCTCCCCGCTGTGCCTGGGGGCTGGTCCTGCCCGGGAGGGCCTCCGCTCCCCCGCCTGTCCCCCCGTGAGGAGCGAGGGTGCTCTCGGGCTGCTCAGGCCGAGTTTCTGGAGAGAGCGGCGGCCTGGCAGTGTCCCGCGTGTCCATCCCTGGAGCGCACAGCCTGTGTCCCGCCGACCTCTGGGGCAGGGTTGGCGGTGTCCTCTCCCGGGTGGTGCTGTGGGTGCCAGAGCCTCAGGCCTGCGTCCCTGGGGCCAGGGTGTGGCCCAGGCTTCATCCCAGCTCGGAGAACAAAATAAAGGACGCCCTGGAGCCCAGGACAGAGCTGGAACTGGGCGCAGGGCCCGGGCATGGCTGCTGCCCGGGTGCAACCTGCAGGGAGGGCTGGACACGGCTGCCCCGGCTCTGTGTCATCAGCGCGGCCGACGGGCAGACTGAAGCGTCAGCCTCGGGTTTGCAGGCCCCTTGCTGCCCTGTGACCCGGGCAGCACTGCCCCTTGCTGCTGTGCTGTGCCTGGGCAGCCGTCGGCCTCACACGCGCCCCTGTCACCACTGCAGAAGGAGCAGCTGCACACCAAGGGCCGGCCGTTCCGCGGCATGTCGGAGGAAGAGGTCTTCACGGAGGTGGCCAACCTCTTCCGTGGCCAGGAGGACCTGCTGTCCGAGTTCGGGCAGTTTCTGCCGGAGGCCAAGCGCTCGCTGGTGAGTCGGGCAGGCACAGGAGGTGGGGGAGGTGTGTGCGGCCTGGGCAGGCTCGCGCTGCAGCCCCCTCCCACGGCCAGGCGGCCGCCCTGCCTCTCCCTTCCGTCCCGTTCTTCTGACGGACCTGAGGTTCCTTGGCGAAGCGGGGCTGCTGGCAGTGTGATGCCGAACCGTTTCTGGTGCACGGCTCCGTGGCACTTGGTACGTCCACAGTGTGTGGCCGTCGCCTCTGTGGAGTTCTGGGGCATTAGTGGTTGCCAGAGGAGCCCTGACCCTGGAAACCACCGTCCACTTCCTGTCCCTGTGGAGTTGCTGGCCCTGAACACTTGCCCTCTGTGGGATCCCCCGCTGCATGGCCTTGTGTGTCCGGCTGCTGTGGCTCAGTGTCATGATCTGGAAGTTCATCTGTGTCACACCCGTGTCAGCCTCATTCCTTTTCACGGCCAAGTAATACTCCATGGTGTGGATGAGCCCTGTGTGTTGCTGCCTTCATCTGCTGCTGCATGTGCGTGCTTGTCTGGTCCTCTGGCTGCTAGGTGATACTGCTGTACAGTCGTGTACTTGCACCTGTCTGAAGGCCAGGTCCGGTTCTTTCTGCTTTATACCTAGAGTGGAACTGCTGAGTCATATGGTAACTTTGTATGTGGAGTGTTAGAGATTGGCCAGAGGGGCCGCTGAGCTGCATCCCCAGCCCTTTCCAGTTGCTTTGAGACAAGGTCTCATTGAGCTGCCTAGGTGGGCCTTGAACTTGGAACGCTCCTGCCTCAGCCTCTCAAGTAACTGGGGTGCAGGACATGCCGGTGCCCCTGGCTTGGTAACTGTGGGAAGAAGCCCGCCCTGTTTTCATAGCAGTCGCGCTGTTGTACAAGTGTGGCCCCCACCCCCCACCCCGTGCCTCTGTGCGCGCACACGTTTTCTCAGGATGGTGGCAGCGCACGGTACAGGACGTGTATCGCCGCCTTTCACGGGGCTCATCTGCTGAGCGTCTCTCTCCGTGCTTTTCTGCATCTGCTCTGGAGAAGCACCTGTTCCAGTCCTTGACAGTTTTTAAAATTGTCTTCGTCAAGCTGTGAGACTTCCTGCAATTCCAGCGCTGCAGTTTTTCAGCTGTGTGCGCTCCAGAACCTTCCCAGCGCCCTGGGTCTTCCTTGCACGTTCTCCTTAGGCTCCTGGACACACACTGGTGTTCTGTCCTGGCGCAGTTTGCTGACCTCGTTTTCCTGACATCACCCTTGCTTGTAGGCTCTGTCAGGAACCGTGGAGGTCACGCGGGTTCCCCTTCCCCCGTAACACGTGACAGTCCCAGCTCTCGTGCTGTAGGTCAGCTGCTTCCCCCAGCACAGGGTCTACACGCCTGCTCTGCCTCCCGCCTTTACTTTTTATTTTGAGATGCGGTCTCACCAAGGTGCTAGTTAAGTGCCTAGGGTGGGCTTGAACTCGGTCCTCCTGCCTCAGCCTCCCGTAGTGCCAGCATAGATGGGCACCACGGTGCCCGGCTTCGGTTCTGAGTGGAATTTGTTGGTGGCGTGAGGCAGGGTGCTTGTGGCAGTGCAGCTGTCCCCCGTGTGGAGGAGCCCGTCCCTTCCCGCAGAGCGGTCGCTGTGGCACTTGTCGGGCTGTGACAGCCCGGGCCTCCCTGAGCTCTCGGTTCAAACCTGTGGGTCTCTGTCCCTGCACTGGCCGGACACTGCTTTTTGCTCTTGAGTAGGATGGCAGCTGGGCTTTCTCTGTTCTTGCTTTGCTTTGCTTTGCTTTGCTTTGCTTTGTTTAGTGACCGGGTCTTGCTAGGCTGCCCTGGCCGGCCTTGAACCTGGACCGCTGGGCTAGAACCCAGGACGGGGCACATGCTCCCCAGCGAGCCCAACCTGTCCTGGTGTGTGGCCCGCTGCGTCCTTCTTTCTCCTGTGTCACGCCGGAGACACGTGACAGTGTGTGAGCCCATGTGTCCCCCAGGGAGCCGGGCTGACCCCGCCCACCCTGCCAGTGCTTCCGGCCCTTTGGATTCTTCTCTCGGCTGTGCCTGCAGCGCCACCCGGGCACCAGTCACCAGGACTGAGCAGCGTCCCTAGCAGGGACACGGCCTGGAAATGTGTGGGGCTGGGTCTCTGGGCCTCGTCTGCCCTGGGCCAAGCCTGCGCAGATAGTGGCGTCTCTGGCGCTGCCCTGGCCTGCGCAGGTGGAGCCTCAGCCGGGCTGGGGCGCAGCGCTTGTCTTGGCTGTGCGGGATCGGGGTGCAGAGCCGCGGGTTCCCGCAGCTGCATGTGGTGCAGCCCTGTGGCCGGGAGCCCTGGCCGCCTGGCCCTGCCGCTGAGTTTCAGGTCGCTGTCAGCGTGGGGGGCTCTGTCCGTGCTGGTGAAGAGCGCCGTCTCCCGTGCAGGGCGAGTGGGCCGCTCTCTGCACTGAGACCCCGCCGCACAGGCGCCGTGTGGAGTCTGGTGGCGTGAGCCCCGCGTGGCGGTGCCCGCCTGTGACACCGAGGCAGGAGGGTCGCTGCGAGCTCGAGTCCAACCTGGGCTCCACACCAAGGCACTGTCTCAAAAAACCAACAATAAACAGAGATGTGCAAAGGGCGGCAAAGGGAGACGAGCCACCCCCTGGGTCAGGAGCCAGTTCGCTTCCTCGGGGGCCTGGGCCGCAGTCCAAGCCCTGCGTACCGGGAGTCGCCGAGGCAGCGTGGGCAAGGGGCTGTGGCCAGTACGGCTCCCTTTGTGCAGCAAGCAGATGCAGCCTCAGCCAGGACGGCTGGGTTCACGGCCTGGCCAGGCGCCGCGCCGGTAGCCCCCGGTACATGGTCCGCGGGCATGTCCAGGCCTGGGGGCGCAGGAGCCCTGGCACCTGTCACGCTGTCCCTGTGCGCTTGGCTGGGATCCTCAGAGCGGGACGTCAGGCCTCCCAGGACAGCTGTGGCTTCGGAACGGCCCTTCGAGCGGGTTGGCTTTGAGAGCCGCGCTTGCGCAGGGCCAGGGCCGCTGGCTGCCGGCTGTCCTCGTGTGGGAGTCAGCGTCGGTGCGGGCTGCGGGTTTGAGTCACCGTCCTCGCGCGGGGCCGTGCCTGCGGCGGCCGCTCCTCTGCATGGCACGCGCTGTGCCTCCCTGTGCCTCCCTGTGCACCACCGGGGACTGAACCCAAGGCCTTCGCACGGAGCCGCGGCCCTGACTCTTCATCGTCTACTTTGAGGCGGGGTCTCATCGAGCTGTTGAGTCGGCCCGCTTAGGCTTGAGCTTGTGGCCCTCCCGCCTCGGCCTCCCCAAGTGCGGGGTCGCGGAGCCCCGCCGCGTCCGGCCCGGATGCTTACTTTGAAGCAGTCATGGTGTCCTGCGGGCTCTGCCCCTTTGGGCCTTTGCTGTCTGCTGTCCTCGCATGTGCTGCGCCAGTGGCCTGCGTCCCCAGCCCCGAGGCCTGCGGGAGGTGTCCGTGTCCAGGCGGGGAGGGCTGGGGACAGGGCTGAGTGGGGGACGCTGGCGCAAGCCCGCGTGCTGACGGAGAGCTGCCGGCCTGCCCCTCCCAGCACGGCACGCCCTGCTCGTGTGCCGCTGCCCGGCACAGGCGGCTCTGTCCCGAGCGCGTGGCCCGCTGACCCCCGTGTCCCCGCAGTTCACGGGCAGCGGGCCGTGCGAGGCGAGCGGCACCCCGAAGAGCGAGCACGAGAAGGGGCTGGAGCATGGCAAGAAGCGCTCGCGGCCCTCGCTGCTGCGGCCCGTGTCCGCGCCCGCCAAGGTAACGCCCGCCGTGCCCCTGGCTGCCCGCGGTCCCCCGGAGAGTCAGCCAGGAGCCGCAGCCACTCGCGGCCCTGACGCGGGCTCTCTCCGCAGAAGAAGGTGAAGCTGCGGGGCACCAAGGACCTGTCGCTGGCTGCGGTGGGCAAGTACGGCACGCTGCAGGAGTTCTCCTTCTTTGACAAGGTGAGGTGTGTCCCCTGCCCGCTGCCCTCGGGGACCTGCGCTGTCCCTCAGTGGCTTCCTGTGAGTGGGGCAGGGGTAGAGCACGGTGACCAGGTGGGGGGCCGGGTGGGGCCCGAGGACACACCCAGCCGCCTCTGCAGCCGTGGAGCGCAGCCCCGTGGTCTTTGTCCTCCGCAGGTGCGCCGGGTGCTGAAGAGCCAGGAGGTCTATGAGAACTTCCTGAGGTGCATTGCTCTCTTCAACCAGGAACTGGTGTCAGGGGCTGAGCTCCTGCAGCTTGTCAGCCCGTTCCTGGGGTGAGCGGTGCCCCCGAGTGGGACGGTGGGTTTGGAGCTGTCTCTGATCCCGTGTGGTGATGGGCTGCAGCGGCAAGGGCAGCTCCCCAGCAGCCTCGCGGGCGTGAGAGGAGCAGCTGGGCCCTGCAGTAGCTGGGCTGCGGAGCTGTGGTGCTCATCGGGGTGGAAGAGTCGGTGCGTTTCCCGCGCAGGTGTTTCCAGGCCGAGTGCCTGACCGCTCTCGCCCGGGGCCCTGCCCAGCCCAGGCTCCCGGCTCTGCCATGCCTCTGTCAGACCACCGCTTGCTTCAGCTCACAGAGCAGCGTCTGTGTGTGGGGGAGCCCCGGGCGGCCGGGCACACGTGTCCTGCAGCAGACGGCGGCGGGGTGGGGCGGAACCCGCGGGGTGGGGACGCGCTGGCCTGCAGCTGCCCCGTCTCCTAGGAAGTTCCCGGAGCTCTTCGCGCAGTTCAAGTCCTTCCTGGGTGTAAAGGAGCTGTCGTTCGCGCCACCGCTCAGCGAGCGCTCCGGGGACGGCGTGGGCCGAGAGATCGACTACGCGTCCTGCAAGCGCATCGGCTCCAGCTACCGCGCGCTGCCCAAGACCTACCAGCAGCCTCGCTGCAGCGGGAGGACGGCCATCTGCAAGGAGGTGGCGCGGCTGGGTGGGCACGGTGGGGGTGGCTTGGGGTCCCTGGTGTCTGCAGGCCCCGGTGCGGGGCTGGCGGGGCCGTGGGGCTGCGTACCCTGTGGCTTCTGGTGTGTCAGGTGGGCTGCCTCCTTCCACGCAGACCTGGACTGATCCCGGCCAGGACCCCGCTGTGCCTCGAGGTCGCTGTCCTCGGTGAGGCAGGGTGTGACCGTTGGAGGTTTTCCCCGGGTTTGTGGGCCGTTACGACTGCACCTCCAGGGGTCAGCAGAACTGCGAGCCATGCCTGGCCCACCACCTGTGGGTGTAAAGAAAGTCTGCGCACGGCCCTGCCATGCACCACGGCCACAGAGTTGCATATCCGAGCCTGATTGCTCACGAACCCGGCTCTCGTGGCCAGGGCCTTGTGTGGGGAGCTCGCCGTCCCAGGCCGGGATTGTGTCACTCAGCCAGGGTCTTGGTGTCCCCCTAAACCCCCCCACAGTTCACTTTCCTGTCGGTGTGACCAGGCAGAGCCCGTGCGGTCAGTGACACTGCAGTCCTTGCGTCCCCACTGAAGGGCAGCTGCCGACTCACCCCTCCACGCAGGTGCTGAACGACACCTGGGTCTCCTTCCCCTCCTGGTCAGAGGACTCCACCTTCGTCAGCTCCAAGAAGACACCGTACGAGGAGCAGCTGCACCGCTGTGAGGACGAGCGGTTCGAGGTGTGTGCACGGCTGCATCTGTCCCCAGGGCAAGCAGGTCCCAGCCTGGGACATCCTATCTTCCGTCTGGCACAGCGACCAGGCACGGTGGTGCACACCCATTATCCCAACTACTCAGGAGGCTGAGGCAGGAGGGTCACAGGTTCAAGTCCAGCCTGGGCCACTTAGCGAGACCCTGTCTCAAGACAAAAAACAAGAGCCGAGGGTGTAGCGCAGTGGTGAGCACCTGCCTAGTGGGTGCAAGGGCCCGAGTCTCATTCTTAGCACTACAAAAAAGTAGTTAAAATGAAGTTAGCTTTATATTTTTCATTGGAATTTTGAGTGAGGTAGCAATTCAATATAGTGTAAAAATAACTGAGTCCTGGGTGTCTTTCCTAGGGGCAGTGATGTCATTTAGGACTAGCACCAACTGGGCACACTGGGGACATATAATCCCAGCAGCTGGGAGGCTGAGGCAGGAGGGTTGCCGTGAGTTCAAAGCCAACCTGAACTACATGCAAGACCGTTTCAGAAATACAAGTAGAACTCTAGCATGGTGTCACAGCCAAGGTACTGACACAGACATCCCCAGTCTCCTTCCCATCTCAGGAACAGGGTCTCAGTTGGCTTAGTGCCCTGGATGGGCTGGTCTGGGGGTCCTCCACCCTTGGCGGCCCAGCATACTAGGATCACAGCTGTGTCCCCAGTACCCGGCTTTGTCGGGATAATAGATGGCCAGCAGAGGGGCATTGGCCCACGGTTCTGGAAACGCGGAAGTCCAAGGTGAAAGGCGGTGCCTGGCACAGGCCAGGCATGGGGGCGCGCTCAGCCCTCACGCAGAGCCCCGGCGAGCGTGCTGCCCATGGGAACCTGGCTGCTGGCAGGGCCGGGCGCGGAGGGGGTGGCAGACGCACGCACGTGTGTGTCCCGCCTCCCCGTGTCCTTGTGCTGCCAAGCAGCTGAGCAAACGCGGTCAGCACTGCATCCCCAGGGGCTGAGGTCGCTGAGCCTGCCCTGCTGCCCCGCGCCTGGCCCCGCTGTGCCCTGGGGCCAACCCCTCCCTCCCCGCAGCTGGACGTGGTCCTGGAGACGAACCTGGCCACCATCCGAGTGCTGGAGAGCGTGCAGAAGAAGCTGTCGCGCATGGCGCCGGAGGACCAGGAGCGCTTCCGGCTGGACGACGCGCTGGGCGGCACGTCCGAGGTGATCCAGCGGCGTGCCATCCACCGCATCTACGGGGACAAGGCCCCCGAGATCATCGAGAGCCTCAAGAAGAACCCCGTTGCTGCTGTGCCTGTCGTTCTGAAGAGGTGCCGTCCTCCAGGGCCGCCCGCTGTCGCAGCGGAGCCGTGTCGTCTCGGGTTGGGATGAGACACAGTCTGTGTTCAGTGCAGCTGGGCGTGATAGCACATGCCCGTCATCCCAGCACTGGGAGGCTGAGGCAGGAGGATTGCCACTAGGTCAAGGCCAGCTTGGGCAGTTTAGAGAGACTGGCTCAACAGAACAAAAACAATTTGGATAGGTATGCAGAGACGTGCAGGGCTGGTTCTGGCTCTCTTACAACATGAGTGGGCTGGGCTTGTGGCCACGCAGTGTCCTCTCAGCTACTCTGGAGGCTTGGGTAGACGTGACTGTCGGTGCCACGTGCCCTGCTGTTTGCCTCAGGACTGCCCTGTGCCAGGGCATGGTGTTCCGTACGTGACAGCAGGGCGGCACTGCTGGGCCCCAGGCCATGGAGCTGGGCGGGGTGGCTGCAGGGCACTGCTCTTGGGCTCCAGGTGTAACTGCAGCACAGAGCAGGGAGAGGGAGGAGCTGCAGGCCCTGCCCACTGTTCCGGGCAGCTTGACACCTTTGGGCTTGAGCCCAGGCCTCCATCTGAGCGGCATTCCCAGCCCCTTTTTGTTCTGAGACCATGTCTCGTAAGTCACTAAGTTTCCAGAATGGGCATGAACTAGAGCTCCTCCTGCCTCAGCCTCCCGGAAAAGGGCGCCAGCACCCTGCTTCCTTTTCGTGTTCAGCCCCACTCTGGTGCCCACTGTCACATGAGGGGGTGCTGGGCCCCCCTGAGCCCCTCTCGCCCCCCTGCCGCAGGCTGAAGGCCAAGGAAGAGGAGTGGCGCGAGGCGCAGCAGGGCTTCAACAAGGTGTGGCGCGAGCAGTACGAGAAGGCCTACCTCAAGTCGCTGGACCACCAGGCTGTGAACTTCAAGCAGAACGACACCAAGGCGCTGCGCTCCAAGAGCCTGCTGAACGAGATCGAGAGCGTGTACGACGAGGTGGGCGCCGCGGCCCGTGGTGACTCTGGCTGGCGCCTTTCTCTGGCCAGGCCCAGCCAGTGACCTTACCCTAGGGGAGACCGCAGCAGAGGCCAGGGCTGGGCACAGGGTCGTGAGGGGCGGCTGTGGGGCCGGGGCAGGCACTTGGCAGGGGTAGCGGGCGGCAACAGCCCTGGGACAGTGGCTGCAGCTCTGGGAAGGGGGGGCTGTCCCCAGGGCGGGCCCTGCCAGGGGCAGTACTCCCCTGGAGCTGGAGGGCAGCCGTCCTCGGGAGGCAGGGAGGCCCCTGCCGGAGACAGCATGGGGATCGGCTCGGCCCACGGCGAGGCCAGGGCCCCTGGGCAGCAGCCCGAGCCTTCCTTGTGGCCTTGGCTCCGCCTGGAGTCTGCGCCTCCGCCTTGGCTGCCGCCCTTGGTGCTGGGGTGTGGGCGGGGCCGCACTGCTCACCCGCAGCCTTGTGCACGCTGCTGGAGACAGCCTCGCACCGCTGCCCAGGCTGGGTCCGGGCTCGCCGCGCTCCTGCCTGGCCTCCCCCGTGCTGGGATGACAGGCGGCGCTGCGTGCCCAGGTCACAGTGGCCTTTGAGCATGTGTACAGTGTGATAAGTGGGGGACCCGGGAGCCAGGGGCCTGGCTCGCCTGCAGTCTGCTCCCCGGGACACCGGCCTGCAGGAGCCCCGCTTGGGCTCTACGGCTGTGTGTGAGGGGGGCCTGGTGTCTAGGGGGCTGCAGGGAGCCTTGTGCAGCAAGCCGAGGTTCCAGCCCCGGGGGTGCCGGCCTTGGAGGCCCCGGCTGCCCACTTCTGGGATGTCTGAGGCCCGTGGCACCCGCCCAAGAGCCTGCTGAGCCCCAGTGCCTACTGGGCCCTTGCACCCCGGCAGCCAGGCGCAGCGCGGGGCCGCAGGCGGCGGCGTGGCCGAGGGAGGCTCGGGACGAGAGTCCTCTGTGGGGCGCCGTGCAGCCCAGCGGTAGCGAGGGGCCCGTGAGGCCTGCTGGCGCCGGGCCGGTGCCTCTCTGCAGCTGGCCGGGCGCAGTGTCAGCTGTGACTCTCCCACCCGTGCTGGAGCGCCCGGGGGCGGCTCCGGGCTGCGGCAGCCGGGCGAGCGCGTCTGTCCCGGCCCGTGCAGCCTGTCCCGTCCCGCAGCACCAGGAGCAGCACTCGGAGGGCCGCGGCGCGCCGGCCAGCGAGCCGCACCTCATCTTCGCGTACGAGGACCGGCAGATCCTGGAGGACGCGGCGGCGCTCATCAGCTACTACGTGAAGCGGCAGCCGGCCATCCAGAAGGAGGACCAGGCCACCATCCAGCAGCTGCTGCACCGCTTCCTGCCCGGCCTCTTCTCGCAGCAGCAGCCCGAGCCCCGCGCCTCCGACGACTCGGCCGATGAGGGCGGCGCGGCCGCGGACCCTGGCAGCGGGGCCGGCACGCGGAAGAGGTCGGGGCCCGGGCCGCAGGGCTGCGGCTCCGAGGACAAGGACAAGGACAAGGGGGCCCCGGCGGACGCGCCGGCCCCCGAGCAGCCCCCGCCGCCGCCGGCCCTGGACGACGTGTACAGCCTGTTCTTCGCCAACAACAACTGGTACTTCTTCCTGCGGCTGCACCAGACGCTGTGCGCGCGGCTGCTGCGCATCTACCGGCAGGCGCAGGCGCAGCTGCTGGAGCACCGGCGCGAGGAGGAGCGCGCGCAGCTGCTGTGCGGCGGCCGGCGCGAGAAGGGCAGCGACCCCGCCATGGAGCTGCGCCTCAAGCAGCCCAGTAAGCGCTGGGGGCGGGCGCTGGCCATGGCACACGGCTCCCACCTGCGTCCCAGCGACTCCCGGGGCTGAGGTGGGAGGGTCACGGACCGTCCTGTCGGTGGTTTAGCAAGTCCTGCCTCAAAGCAAAACGGAAGCAGGGAACAGGTGTCATCCCACCTGTCAGCCCAGCGCCCAGGAGGCTGAGGCAGGAGGATTGCTGGGAGTTGAAGGCCAGCCTGGGCTCCTAGTATGACCGTGTCTCCAGAAGAAGGGGCGGCTGAGGGTGCAGCCCTGGGCTCTTCCCAGGCCCGAGGAGGAGGAGGCCGGCCGCACCGGGCATCTGTGGGCCTTACTCTGCAGTACAGTTGGCCTCAGGCCTGTGGTCCGCCCCGGGACCCACCCTGCGCGCGGGGAGCAGGCAGAAAGCCCAGGTCATCCCGGTCGCAGTGCAAGGCCTCCTGCTCCCGTCCCTGAGCAGCACGGGCACCTGGGACCGTGCTCTCCGCGGGTGCATAGGGCCTGAGCGTTTGGGAGCCCGGCCCCTGCAGGTCGGAGGCGCAGCACACCCGTGCCAAGCCTGTTGTGGGTAGCAGGTTTCAAGGCAGCCACCTCGGGGCAGGGCTGCTTGCGGCCCCAGCTGGAGGAGGGACCAGGCGCTGGGTTCCCGCACTGTCGTGCCGGCCGGGAGATGTGTTGCCGCGGTGCCTTTGTCCTTTGTCGCCGCCCGGCCGAGTGCCAGCCGCTCCGCCAGTTGGGCCCCCCACGTGTGCGCATGACAGCCAGGGAGGGCCCGGGAGGGGCGGCCTGTCGGGAGCCCAGGCCTGCACTCAGCGCGCTGCCCCCCAGGTGAGGTGGAGCTGGAGGAGTACTATCCGGCCTTCCTGGACATGGTGCGCAGCCTGCTGGAGGGCAGCATTGACCCCACGCAGTACGAGGACACGCTGCGGGAGATGTTCACCATCCACGCCTACGTCGGCTTCACCATGGACAAACTGGTGCAGAACATCGCCCGCCAGGTGAGGGCGGGGCGGGCCGGGGCAGAGTCAAGGGGCCGGACCAATGGGCGAGTGGGTGGCCCTTCCGGCCCCGCCCTCCCTGCCTTGCCTGTGGGCGTGGGCTTTGGAGACCCTCACCCTTACCCTGACCCTTCCTGGATTCCTGCTCCAGGAAGCCGGCCCCGTGGCCAGCACACAGACCTCACCTTTTTAAAAACGAAATTGTTGTAACAAAATCTACCTGTAGATTGTAGCCTGGCAAGGCGGGGCACACTTGTGTTCCCAGGGCTCTGGGAGGCTGAGGCAGGATGATCACAAAATTGAACCCAGCCTGGCAGGTTAGTAAGACCCTGTCCCAAAATGTTAAGAAGGCCGGGATGCAGCTCAGCGCAGAGGCCTGGGTCCCTCCTGGGCTTTCAGAAGGGCACAGACAGGGACTTTGTGAGCATCTGAACCCAAACTCCCACACACCCGCGCTGCAGAGAGCAGACCTCGCGTGGCTGACTAGGGGTGGGAGCTGGGGAGTTCCGTGTGTCGCGTTCAGAGTTATTAACGGTTGCGTGTGCTGTGCGTGTGGGAAACAGGGCGGGTTCTAGGTTTACCCTGGGCCCTGCCCCAGACGCCCGTTACATGTGTGCAGATGTCCGGGAGATGGAAACCAGCTCCCGACCCAGAGGGCTGTGGTCTGGGCGGCGGGGCAGGGACACGCAGCCCGTCCGTCCAGGCTGGTGTGCAGTCACCGCCTCCCCCAGAGACTGTCACCAAGTGAGGCCCGCGCCCCGCTCGGTACCCCACTCCCTGGCGTCTGCGTTTGCCTGTCGGGATACTTCCCATCAGCGGAGTCAGGGAAGACGAAGTTTGTGTCAGGCGACAGTCACAGCACCATGCTTCCAGAGCTCACACGCAGGGTGGCCTGGGCCAGAGCCGCCTCCCTCTTCAGGGCTTCGTAATATTCTGTTGTACTGAGGGTGTGTTGTGGGATAGCTGTGCTGAGTCCTTGTGTGGACGCGGACGGTGCCGCCCTGGACGTCAGTGTGAGCTTTGCACGGGGTCCCAGGGGTGACCCTCCAGGTGCGCATGCTGGAGCTGCGTTGCCGTGAGCCGTAGTTTCCTAGTGGCGGCCCAGTGGTGCGGGTGGTGTTGGCAAGGGACATGGGCCACGCACAGTGGGAGCCCCGAGGGTGGCGTGGCCTGGCATGAGGCCACCTGGCCCCCCCGGAGCACTGCTGTCGTGACTTCCGTTTCCTGCTCGTCAAGTGGGGCGTCCTGTGACGAGAGCGGAGGGCCGGGATAAGCAGTATCGCCGCTGTCGCGCTGCGCTGAGCCTGGAGGGCGCTTCCTTCCGGCCCGGCTCCCGCGGCCCCTGCTGTGAGGCCTCGGGCCCACCCCCCTGCCGCCAGGGCTCGGCGTGGAGCTGCCATCTGTCCCGGGCCCGGGGAGGGCATGCTGCTGCCTGCGTAGTCGTGCGGCGTGGGCCGCCTCTGGGGCTCTGGTGGTGGGCCGCAGGGCACACAGGGCTGCTGCTGGGGGCGGAGAGGCCTTGGCACTGGGGTGCTGGCCAGGCTGGGCACTGGAATCGGTGCTCAGAAACGACCCTCCCCGGCCCCTGCCCCGGGCCCCGCGAGCAGGAGTGGCAGCACGGTGGCCGTGCTGCCTGGCATCCGCCCCGCCCTGCTGCTGCCCCCTCAGCACTGGCAGCCATGGTGCGGGCAGCTGTCGGGTCCACGCGCGGCCGCTGCGGCCGTGTTTGTTCAGCAGAGCCACAGCAGGCGCTGCCTGTCACCCGACGCGGGTCGGTGTGGGGGCCCAGGGGGTCTCACTGTCCCGGGGGCTCTGACACGGCCCAGCTGACCTGAGGCCTGGCTTCCTCCGAAACGGGGTGAGCAGGATGCCCGAGCCCCAGTCCAGCACGTCAGGCGGGGACTGTGCCAGGGAAGACCGTGTCTTGGGGACACCCCCCGGCCATCTCCTTCGGTGCCATGTGGGCTGCTCTTCAGGCCTGCTCCCGTTCCGTCTGGTCTGCTTGCCTGGTCTCAGGTACTCAGGCCTGGTCTGGTTTGGCTCTGTCTGTTTTGATCCAGTCTGGCCTGGTCTCGTCTGGTTTGCTGTGGTCAGGTTGGGTTCAGTATGGTGTGGTCCGGTTTGTTGTCTGAACCGGTGCAGGGCAGTCTGGGCCAGTTCAGGCAGTCTGGGGCAGTTTCAAGCAGCGTAAACTAATTATGGACAGTCTGAACTGGTTCTGGCAGGCCTGAGCCAGCTCAGCCAGTCTGGGCAGGTTCCGTGTGGTCTGAGCATGTTCAGTGTGGCCTGGTCTGGCCTGGTCTGGTCGGGTCCACTCCACCCAGGCTGACCCGGCCCAGAGTGGCCGTGGTGTGGCCCGTGCCCGTGGCCCAGCCCCTCAGGCCCGCGGCCTTGTCCCGCAGCTGCACCACCTGGTGAGCGACGACGTGTGCCTGAAGGTGGCCGAGCTGTACCTGAGCGAGAGGAAGCGCGGCGCGGCGGGCGGGAACCTGGCATCCCGCTGCGTGCGCGCGGCCCGCGAGACGAGCTACCAGTGGAAGGCGGAGCGCTGCATGGCGGACGAGAACTGCTTCAAGGTGAGTCGGCCGCCGGCACCCGCACGGGCCGCAGGGGCGCGGCGGTGGCTTCAGCCTGTCCCCGCCCCGCCAGGTGATGTTCCTGCAGCGCAAGGGCCAGGTGATCATGACCATCGAGCTGCTGGACACCGAGGAGGCGCAGACGGAGGACCCCGTGGAGGTGCAGGTGGGACACGGGGCGGGGACACTGAGCCCGCCGGGCCCCTCAGCCTCCTGGTGGGGACGTGGCTCTGCCCCCAGCCTGGGACCTCCGTGCTCTGTGCCCGCCCCTCAGCACCAGGGCGCCTCGGCCGGCCCCGCCCATCACTGCGTCCTGTGCGCTCCCCTGCGGTGGCGGTGAGACACGGGCCGAGGTGTGCCGGGCCCTCCCAGAGGCGCCCAGGGCTCCGCGCAGCGCCGTGTCCTGCGCCGTCTGCCGCGGCCTCCGCCACCTCTGAGTGCAGGGCGCACAGCTGTGCTCCTGGGCAAGGGTGTGTGCCTGCTTGGGCGCGTGTACGTGTGTCATGTGTGCACACACGCGTGTGTCACTCAGCGAGCCCGGCCACCTGCGGGGCCTGGGGCTGCCCTGACGAGTGACCAGGTCGGGGCACAGCCACACCGCCCCTGGGCTGGGCTCTCCCCGCCGTCCTGGCCCCTGTCCCTCGTGTCACCCCTGCGTGTCTGCCGTCCTGGGACGCTGGTCACGGGGTGGAGGCCTGTCCTCCTCGGTGGTGACTTAGTTCTGGCTCAATGACCCCCCCAGAGACCCTAGCTCCGTGAGGTCATACGCCAGGTGCCAGGGCCCAGGATGGGGCTGTAGACACAGCAGTGACTTCGATGTCAGCCCAAAGCCCCTGTGTGCTGGGACCCCTCAGCCCCAGGAGAAGCAGCAGTTGCCTCCCACACTTAAACCCTCCTGGGAGCCCAAGTCTGTGAACTTAGTAGGGGCTGCCGGGTAGGACGGCCACACCCCTGGTCCTACTACTCTGGGAGGCTGAGGCAGGAGAATCCTAGGTTCGGTCCAGCCTGGGCAACTTTGTAACACCTTGTCTCAGAAAAGGGCTGGAGCTGGAGTTCAGGGCAGGGGTCAGGGGTTCCACCCCCAGTAATGGGGAGAAAAGTGCCTGTGGCTGCACATTTTGCCTGAGTGAAAGCCACCCAGGTGTGGGACGCGCTGAGCTGCTTTAGGTTATTTTGTGACAGGGCCTGTGTTGCTAAGTTGCCTGGTATGGGTGGAGCTTGGGATTTTCCTGCCTCAGCCTCCCAGTAGCTGTACACATCTGTACCCCTGTGCTCGGCTTCTGCATTACTCCTGCCCGTGTCCTGGCATCCACGCCTGCTCCTTGCCACCCCCGACCCTGCTGTCTAAGCAGCGCCCTCCCACGTGAAGTCCGTCGGGGAGGGGCCCAGGATGGAGGGAGGAGGCTGGGCCTGGACGTGCCGAGCTCAGCAGCACGCAGCCCGGTCGAGGGCCTCGTGTGGGGCCGTCCTTGTAGGGGCTGTGGTCCAGTGCCCCGAAGCGTGCCCCTGCAAACTGCTGGCTGTGCTGGGGCGGGCGCAGCCCAAGCACCCGGTGACACCTGTGCCCGCTCCCCAGCACCTGGCCCGCTATGTGGAGCAGTACGTGGGGACGGAGGGCTCCTCTGGCTCGCCCGCCGAGGGCTTCCTGCTGAAGCCCGTGTTCCTGCAGAGGTGAGGCGGGGCGGCCGGGGAGGGCCCTGCGGGTCTGCTCCCCTGCCAGGATGGACCACCCCAGCATGCCTGCTGGAGCACGTTCTTCTGTCTGCACCCACCCAGGAACCTGCGCAAGTTCCGGCGCTGGCAGTGCGAGCAGGTGCGCGCCCTGCGCGGCGAGGCCAAGGGCCCCTGGCGGCGGCTGGTGGGCGTGGAGAGCGCGTGCGACGTGGACTGCCGCTTCAAGCTCGGCACGCACAAGATGGTGTTCATCGTCAACTCCGAGGACTACATGTACCGCCGCGGCACGCTCGGCCGCGCCAAGCAGGTGCGCGGGGCCCCGAGCCGCCCTGGGCCGGGGGG